GTGTCTGAAATAACAGAAAATATTCAAAAGACCCAGTTCCCTGACAGTTTCCCAAACTGTTATTCAAATCATGTCATCCATTGAGGTGCATAAGAAAAGGTTAATTCTGACTCTGATTAATAAGTTTGAGTATCAAATGCAAAATCAGTCCTCCAAAGCATCTTGTCATAAATGCATAAAATGACCTGCTCTGGTGAAGGATTCAGATAGTCGAAAGTTGTCTGTTTCGCAATGTTGGCATAATATGCATAGGCCAGGTCGAGGTCTGTGGGGAGGCCGTGAAGCCCCTGGTGGTGCATGTGCCCGAGATGCAGAAGCGCTAATCGATCATCCCTCTGAGCGGCCAGCAGGGCGAGAAGCCAAGCCTGCACCAAACACAGGAGCATGAGAGAGCATTTAGAAAACACTGGACACTGTCACCACAAGCAACTATGGCTGGTCCAGAGGCACACACACCTTAGCGAGCTGTTTCTCGACGCCCAGGCCGGTGCTGTAGAGCACAGACGACATGTGCAGAGCTCTGTTATCAGCCAGGCAGCCAGCTTGGAGCAGCAGTGGGAGGATTGTGCTGACCACTGCAGAGCTGCTCGCTCTGCCCAGCTTCTGAAGTGATAAGGAGTACAGCGCTCTGCCCACAGCTGCCGAGCTCACCCTCTTTCCTCCTGCAAGTCAGCAATTGAACAGATTTCAGTGGTGCATGACAAATAACACGCGGATAGCATCAGTGAATAATGAGCCGAGTAACCATGCACAAGCTCAGACTGTGGAGCCAAACTTGAATCCACAGATCTTATTTGAAATCTTACAGGAGAATGCAGAGATGCCAAAGAGTGTATATTTAAATATGTGAAACTGTGAATAAAATGATGCTTAAAACATTTTCATGTTTTAGCGACTTGACCTTTTAATTTAGTGTATACATCAAATGATTTCCATTCAGAGCTGGATCAAGCTGATAGAGAATATTGTGTATGTGTATTCTTATAGCTGGATCTCAGTGTGGAGAAAATACAAATAATTAACAATGAAAAATACACAAATGTCAAAGCTATGATCTTTATATATTAGTGTCAATATTGATGCAGATTTATCATGTTAGTAATGTGATATCTAACTGCAGCTGTACGATAATGTGTTGCCGTAGCGTGTTTTGTACTCTGGTACTCTGATAGTTACCGTCCACATCTGGGTATTTGGCAGTAACTAAATTCATTTAGTGCAGTTTATCTCTTACCGTGTTTGAAAGCAAACAACTTGGACAGTTTTGCAGCTTGTCTCCTGCGAGGGACAGTTTCCTCCCACGGCTCACACTGATGATTCAGTGGCAGTCTGTCCTTTATCAGCCACTTATGAAAAGCATCAAAACATGCCTCTGCAAAAAAAAAAAAAAAACAGCACTGACAGTCAGTTCATTTGTTTTCATGCAGGGCTCACTGCAGCTGCTGATATTTTAGCCCCATCTAGTGGACATATCAACCCACTACCTGATTCTCTCTGTTGGGCCCTCAGAGAATAACCATTGATTTTCACGTTCAACTCGAAGCGAAACTTCTGACACGTCTGCAGCCACCCTGTGAGATTCACGTCCTGAATAACATCTGGAATAACAGCATCCTTCTGTAGAGGAGAGAACTCATCAGACTCAGATGCAGGGAACAGTGGGTAGTACCTGTGGGCGGCTGCGGAGCATTACCAGGCTTTGAGGTGGAACTCTGTTGCGGTAGTAAACAAATGGCCCAAAATACCCTTCCACACCTTTGACATGTTTACCTCCTCCAATCACAAAATATCCCTCGGTGTCATCCAGCCTGACATCATGACTCAGCCTGTGGGAAACATGAGGCTCATTGTTTATTCCCGTTGTTAACACGGTTCAATCACTTATTTCAAAGTAGACTTACACATATTCTGTAGATTGAACCGTTCTCTGCTCCTTATCCATGCAAACCATGGAGACAGTCACCTGAGAGACAGCAGCATCACTTTATTTTGAATTCTCTCCATTATTCACATGCTGTATAAATATCATTTGTCAATAGAAGGCTGCTCACTGTTCTACCCTGCAACACCACACTGAGTTTGCACCACTCGTGTAAAGGCACTTTGAATGGAGAGAGGAAGGCAGTGGACTCCTCAGACTCTCCATTCATCTGGATGTGAATCTGGCCTGCACATGTGAGAGACGAGCGTTAAAGGGATAGTTCACAGAAAAATGAAAATTCACTCATTATCTACTCACCACTATGTTTAAAGGGTGGGTGAAGTGTTTGAGACCACAAAACACTTCTGGAGTCCCAGGGGTAAACAGCGTTAGAGCACAATCCAATACAACTGAAGTAACTGGTGACCGATTCTTCAACTGTTAAAAAAACTACAGACAAAAACATGGCATGCCTCCATACTGCTCCTGTGGTGTCATCCAAGTGTCCGGAAGCCCCGACATTCAAATTTGACTTGAAACAGCATCATTGTTTTTAATTGTCCTCTGTTATCCTCCTCTGGAACCACGTTGATGTTCACACGCACACACACACTGCACACAAGCTCTCACCAGAGGGTTCAGGGTAGCATCGCTAATTCCAGTAGCGGACATTTAGGGTAAAAACGTGATGTAAATGTCGTGGATTACAGTCACTTGGATGACATCACAGGAGCTGTATGGAGGCATTTCATGTTTTTTCTGTTGTTTTATCACGTCTGAAGAAGGAATCAGCAGTTACTTCAGTTGTATTGGAATTGGCTGCAACGCTGTTTACGCCTGAAACTCCAAAAGTGTTTCGTGGTCTCAAACACGTCTACTTTTCATTTTTCTGTGAACTATCCCTTTAAACACTGGGCGTATACACAATGAGAAGACCTGAGAGGTGAGAGGATACAAAATGAAAGGAAACCTGAATTTGTGAGGAACATAGAGGGAGAGATGTAGTTATTCTCAGAGTTGATGTGATGTAACATGCCACACAGGCTTCCCTGGCAGTGTCTGCTCACAAAGATCCAGGCGGAGAACAAACACCTGGAAAAGAATGTACATAAAGGTCTGCTGCTTTAATGTCTGAACAATATCTGCAGGACAAACAGCTCATGGTGGGACGGTCTTACCAGGGGAAGGAGACGGCTTTGACACGCAAATGCTCCAGGACCCCGCTGCCGTACGGCTCCAGAGTCTTTGTGATCCCAAAGTTTTCTCCGGTTGACGCATAAATTGAGGACAGCAAATGAACCGTTTCTGCACGACATAAAGAGCAGTTGATTCAGCTTTGATAAAACTAAAGGGGAAGATTATATATTCCATGGCTAGTCTCTAAAAACAGACAAATACGATGTTTACATTTTAAACCCCACGCAAATCCGGAACAAATATCTCAGGTCAAAGTTCACCAAAGTTGAACTTCATGCGAAACCACCGGTAACAAGTGTTTTAATTGCCCCCCCCGCGCCTCGCTCACACAGATTAGAAGTGAACCGTAGGTGAAGGTTTGCCCTATAATACCTTTGCTTATCTGTGACAGGGCCCTTGATCTGCATTTTATTGATTACCTTCGCAAGAAAGAACCTATTACGTTTTGGCCTGGATCCAGACAAAGGGGGGTAGGCAGAAATTATTTTCATTTCTTGAACATTGTGAGGGGTGTTTTTTTTTTGACATTTTTTATTATTTCCTAGAGAATAATTCAGGGATCTTAATTTAAAAAAAAATCTGTCATATTCAGAGGGCTGGTGTGTATGAGTGAGCAGGCTCTGTTTGTCCTTGGGGGAGTCGTGTGCTCTACTGAGTGTCATTCTAGTTTTTAAATGTTGACAGAAGAATTCTTTTTTTCTCCTCTTGAAAATGTTGTTATTCAAAATGCATTCATCGATTCAACTTGAGCAGATTCCACCTTACCTTCCTCTGAAGGACATTGTTTATTTAAAAACTGCTGCGTCAATTGCAGTATTTTTGAGCTCCAGGCAAAACAGAGCTGATGCTGTTTGAGGGGTCGACTGAAGAAGGCCTTAGGCTGCAGCGTTGCAACATCCTGGGCTGCGACGAGCTCCTTGGTGTCGTCAAATCCACCGTACCTGACCGAGGCTCGGAGGGTGCAGCTCAGCACCCACTGAGAGTCTGGGACAATCCCATCAGCTTGGTACACCAGCCAGTCGGGCAGGTTCAGCTCCACGATCCTTATTCTGTGGTCTCCGGGCAGGCAGAGCCACTGTCTCAGCCGGAGTGTGGAAGTGATGCCGGTGTCAAAGTAGACAACACAGTCCAGCTGTACTGTCGCAGGTTCATCACAGGAGTAAAGTATGTCCACGGAATGGTCCGGTAAAAGCTCCTCTGGAGGATTCAGGAAAGTCACCTTGTCTACACCCCAGACCACCTGTGGAGAGAAGTCACACATACAGTCGCACTGACACACTCACATAGCTGATAATGATAGTGATATAATAATAAAAGAAATGAGACCTGCTCCTACCTGCACACTGAGGCAAAACAGATGACAGACACATGACCACAGCTTTAGGAAATCCATGGTCCACACAGAGAATTCATTAATCCCTCCATTAAAGATTTTCAAGCTGAAGAGGAACAAGAAACCTCAAGAGCCGGACCTCATCCTGTTCCACCTCCGCTCTGCTGCACTTTAGGTAAATATTTACCTGCTTATCGCCCCACCCAGTGTCGTCATACACACCAGTGTAAACTGATGGAATTCATCTGAACGTTTCATATTTCCTTTAAGGTGCATGTTTATATCACATGCCATGTTTGAAGAATGTTATCTAACGAGAAAAGAAGAGGAAGAGAAGAAATTACATCTTCATTTAAAGGAGACAATCTGGATATTCAGGATCCTAATTGTAATTTGTGTTACCTGAAAAAAGTTTGCATGCTCCAAAGTTTAAAACACTTGGTTATAGCTCAGACCAGAGGAAAGAAAGTGAAATAAACTTTAATTCTACTGATTGAAAGTGTTGTGCAGGATGCAATGTGGTGTAACATTTAGACACAACACCTCATATTTCATTCAAAATAGTTTATTGCTGTCATGCAGAAGTTCCATAAAAGTCTAGACCATCACATAAGATGCAAAATGATCATTTTCTCTGTACAAATATACCGTGTATGTTTCCATAAATAGAAGCTCAAAAATAAGAAAGAGAGACAGAAAGTGTGGTGGGAAGTAAAGAGCCTAAGCTGATCCACTCTTCTAACCCAATATAGGTTTTGTTATAGCAGTTGACATGCATCAACAATACGGTGCATTGTACTGGGTGCAGACGGACACACGCTCACTCACACACACTTTCAGACGGCATAATCCATTTACAGCTGTCGTGCAAAAGAGGTACAATCGACACCTTAGAAAAGTACCATTAGGAAATTGATATTTTTTCACATGGTTTCTTTAAATAAAATATTTTGTCTTGTACATCCAAACCACCTGTTACATTATGAGGCTGGGGTAGGCCGACTGTTTTCTGCAGCACTTTTTGGTTGTTTGTTAATCGGGAGCACCCTAAGTCTACTGGTGTCCGCACTACTGAAGTAAATCACCTACGACTACTGATGCATAGTTCTGTGCTCATATATAAGAAGCTGTCGATATCAAAACTGGCAAAATGTTCTCCGCTGCCATAATTGGAGAAGAAGAATTACCTGTAACAAATGTAAACATACCGTCCTGTTGACACTGTTACAGACAGAGTACGCTTGGACATTCAGCGTCTAACCTCAGGATAAACAGTATATATCACGTGGTCGTGTGTTCTGTGTAAAGGAGGCTCACGTGGCCCAACACACTCCAAATACAAGGCCACTGACAGAAGGAGATTTGGCACATCGACATGATTGACTGTCTGCACTGTAGAAGGTGGATTACAGAGAGACGACTTGAGAATTTCTATCACATACAGAGCAAATCGTTTTTTTATGCCTTGTATTTTAGCCCTTACCAGCGCATCCCCTTTTATGTCATCCACCTGAATATTCAATAAAACAGAAACAAAACAGAGTAACAGGAGCCAAAAATCAAAGTTCAACTTCATCAAATTAACATTTGAAAGGTAAATGTTGGATTTTAAGAGTATCCTAAAAACACAAAGACATAATTGCTTTTTTTTTTATAGTTGTGAAACTAAAAATATGCTTCAAGTATTTTGTGTTAAATACACAAAATACAGATATTGTTTTTCATAGTATATTCTATGTTTAACATTTTGGTAATTCTGTTTTTTTTCATCCAAGCACGTCATTTGAACACTTTTTAATGTTTAATATTACATATACAAAAGTCTGAGACTCAGACTTCTGGACACCACTCTTAAACCAATCAATTATCAGTGGTGAACCTTGGCATTGTTTATATGCTGGACATTTCAGCAAAGCACTTGCCAACCCTAAACATTAAAACCCCTAAAGGTCTGATGCTGCAATTTGATTCTTTTGTAACAGTGCAGAGAGATTAACGTCTCTTCCAACTTTATTTTGTGGACAATAATGCCCTGCTCTTGGGTGCGATCCAAGGCTGCAAGTTATTATTACACTAATGTTAATCCAAACGACACTTAACACTTTTTCTGACAGCCAAAAGTGAAATCTGATAATATATTCTACTGAGTCTTCTGTTACCACACTCCAGCAGTGACAGAAAGCAGAATGAGTCCTTTTCTCTGCCAAGAAGACGACAACAAAAGACAGTAAATGTCGTAACCATCAATAAGAACAAAGTACTAAAATAAAAGAGTGCGCATTCACTTTGGATTCGTAGGCTAGGTGGTTAGCTCGTAATAAAAGAAACATCAAGTGTAGTCAAAGCAGGTTGACGACGAGAACCAAGCAAACACTAAGGGCATTCGAGTATCAATCAAACAAAAGTGAAGACATGCAAAATGTTATAGATTGTAGAACAAGAAAGAAAAACCCACTTGGAGACCAGTTTTTCTGGACTGGCACAATTTCCTGCAGAATAAATAATACTTTACATTCCAATGTACAAATCTACCCAATCCCCACTTATTCAACATTGACAGTTTCTCACAGTAGGTGTCGTACCTACTCAAAGATGCAACAGAAACAAATGGTGAAAACATTTCACCATTCGACACCAAAACCTTTTGTTTTTCAAGAACAGACCAGAGTCCGACCGCTCTGACAGCCTGCAGTTCATGTAGCCCTTATTTCTTCTGCTTCTTGAAGATCTTGAAGGTGTGTTTCTTGCGGCTGGCAGCGGAATCTGTTTCTTCTCCCGTTGAACCACTGTCCTCCTCCAGGGGGCTCTTCTTGGCGGACAGCTGTGGGATGCGGCTGTTAACCTTTGGACCTATGGCCCCCAGTTGCCCTCCTGTAGGTGATGGTGTGTCCGGTTCGGTGGAGTTGGGGCTGAAGGAGCGGGACGACTCTGACAGGCTGTTGATCTCTCCCAGGCTGAGTGACTCCTCCATGCCGTAGCCCTTCTTCATGAGAATGGGGCTGTCAATGACGGGCTCACCGGGACTGCTCTCGTGTACGCGGTTCCCTCCGTTCGGGGTGTGAGCGTGCAGTGAGATGGCATCCTCTGAGCGACCGGACAGGCCGTGGATGAGAGAAGTGGGCTTGATTAGGTGGCCTTTGGAGCTGTAGGCAGAAAGTCGATCACCAACTTGGGAGAGTGACAGGGAGGAGTCAGAGTCGGAACGATTCAGGTCCCTGTGGAGGCAAAAGAAAACAAGAAAAGTTAGAGGAAGTGGAAAAAACGGAATTTTTAAAAACAGTTAAAAGTTGAAGCCTTGCATGCTGGGGTGCATCTACACTATTCCTGCAAAGCCATGGATGGGCTAGGCACAGCCTGGACACTGGAACTCCACACTTGTTAGTTGTGCAGGCAAAGAACACCAGGAACACTGAGACAGGTCAGGAAGTGAGAAAATGCATAAATGCCTTCAAGTGTGGTGATGTGAATGCAAAAAGAAAAACCTGGAGAAAGCATGAACTCAGAGTTTTTAAAAAATGAAGAGAAGGTTGCCCTGAGTATGAGTGTTAGAAAAAGTGAAATGACAGAAATTGGACCAAAAACCCCACGCACATGCGCAGTGTGTGGAGAATTGAAGAGAGATGAGTACCCGAGGCTGTCGCTGCACGAGGAGTGAGCTTTGGAGACATCTGAGAAGGTGAAATCAGGAATGGGGTCCATGGGCTGGAAAGAGGCGTGATATAAATGGGAGGAATGAGGGGCTACACAACCACCCAAAGAGCTGGGTAAACAGGAGGATGAAGAAGAGAAGGACGACAGGGACTGGGGGTTCGGGCTGCTGGTACAGATGATAGAGGGATGAGACACAGCCGAGGACAGAGGGGGCAGGGGGAGACAATCGAGCTGCCCAAAAGACTGGCTACGTGCTTGTCTGAGGGCGGCCCTAGACCGGGATGGGTATGGGGATCCCTCTCCCTGCTGCCCCGCCAACAGACAACTCTCTACCAACCTCTGGGAGCCCATGGCCAGCTGGGGGTCAATGTGGCGTTGGCGCAGGGACATCATACTGGGAGCTGTGGGAACAAAACAACAGAATAATCAACCATCACGTCACAGAAATAAGTCAGACAGAGAAGGGAGACTGAGCAGGAAATGTTTGGTAAAATACATTTTGCTTGATTTTAACTCGCATTGAACTATGGAAGTGTTACCAGCTAAGATAACTTGCTTACAATGATGAATATTAGAAAATAATTAGCTGTTTCATGAAAGGAAGTGCTCATTTAAAATATAATACAGGATTACTATGGTGAAGGAAGGGGTGCACTGGGTGGTGACAAGATTAAGAAGAGGGAGTAAAAGCAAGCAAATGAGGAAAGGTCAGGGATGTTTTGGACAAACGCAACAGTCTTTTTTTTTTTTCAGTGATTCCAGCTTTGTGTGAGCGTTTGAAAGTCAAGGGGAGAGACAGGGATGTCTGACTAAAAACTGAACTGGGGCATGAATAAATGGCCAACCAGGATGTTTCCACATGGGCTGAATGTCTGAACCAATGGACCACAGGTCACTGGCTCGCCGTTCCAACAGTCGGGTGCCGTCTGTAGTTTGGCCAATGAGGCAGCAGTGGGAGCCAAATGCCAGAGAAGTGGTGGAAGGACAGAGAGGGAAGTGAGATAGGGAGTGCAATTAATGTTGATTGAAGACTTACTCACTACGGCGGCTGCAAAGGGACCCTGCAGTACAACCTTCGCCCGCTGTTAGTCAAACCCAAACCTGGTATGTGTCAAGTTTTGCTACAATAGGAAGTCAAATATACAGACCAAAACAAGACGACTACAAAGTGTTATGGTCCCCTGAATTGTGCTGTTTTCTGGATTAGATGATGTGTGTTTTGAGGAATTCTTAAGTTTTTGTACATTCGATTTTTGATGAGTAGCTTTAGCGTATTTATGTGTCTTACAGTCGACCTGAATAAGAAATGAAATTGGGCTCTGACTATGCTATAACCTTTGTTTGACCAAAAGCAGATTATTAGAGGACACAAGCACTACAAATAGGTCAGCACGGAAACTTGTACTCATGATGAAGTGTATTTTTCATGACAGTTCAATTTCCAGAGGAAAGTCAGAGTCTTCAGTCTCCAGAATTGAGTCCAGTTAACATCTTTTATCCAAAAAATGAGAACAGTTAACAAATGATATTCCACTGGACAGACATGTGACTTTACATGATACAAAATATACAAACGTAAAACAACACTCATTGACAGGAATAAGTGACCCCACCACCTCCATCACCAGGAAGAACATGAGGATAAATTCGTGTAATTGTAGCATTTAAGGTCCAAATTCTCATGTGGGATGATTTTTGGATTTCGACGACAGGGTCTTGGCGTTTGTTCGTTTGCTAATCCCCACTGAATGGCCGACAGATTCAGATGAACCCTTACATTGCAGAGTTCCGGGCATGATATCCTCGTCCAAGTCGTCCATGTCGTCAGACATGATGAAGTGCAGAGGTGTGGCTCTGCCGCCCATTACGGTGGAGTCAAGGTTGAGGGCTGAGGTCAGCGAAGGCAGGCCTGGGTTGTTGACAATGGTGAAGCCGGTAAGGATCTCTATCTGCTGCCAACGATGAAGCCTCTCCCTCAACGCAGCCGTCACCTCACCCAGGGCTTGTCTGAGAGAGAAGAGGAGAAAGTGGTGCAAGTTGAAATAAGTGAAGAGGAGAACTAACTGTAATTATAACTGTTTTCCCAGACTTACTTTGCTGCCAGTATTTTGTGGTCCACATCATCCAGGGAGGAGCTGTGAGCCACATGGAAAGTCCCGAAGAGAGTGTTCCTCTTTTTCTTTATCTTCTCTGCCTGTGCAAACAAGTGATCAAACATTTATCTCAGCTGTATTGACATTACACACATGTGCATAACATATATACATACAGTATGTGTGTGTGATGTTGCATCAGGGAATCTTGTTTGCAGACATACAACATAACTTAATAGTTTTTTCACAAGAACATAAATGAGATTAAGTCATCGGACTAATTAAATATCTTAGAAGAAATACTAAAATAAGTAAAACACCAGTATAACGTATTCCACAATATTTTCTTGTGTACTGTTTTTGTTGTTTGTTACACAATGTACAAGAACATTTTCTATTTTTGGCCCAAGAACTCATGAAGTCCTCTTCACATGCGTACCCCTTCTTTGGCTATCAGGAGCTGCCGTTCAGCATTTTGCTTCTTGATGTTGTAGTACTGTACTTCCACCTCATGGGTGAGCTGCAGCCACTTCTGGAGAGACTCTGGTGGACACCAGCTGCTCCGTGACTCCAACTCCTTCTCAGCTTTCTTCAACGCCATACGCACCTGCAACGAAAGTCAAATATTAACTGACAAATTAACACTTTAAATTGTTAAATAATCAAGTCTTAGCAATGATTATTTTTTTCATTTGTCCCATATTTTCTTAATATGAGAGAAACTAAAAACTAAATTTTGCAAAAAATATGAAATATTATATGAAGGAAAGGTTATGAATATCTTTTTCATGTCTTTGCTATTTATTTGCCAACACATAATTCAAATTTAATGATTATTTATACAAAGTACTGACATTTCTCAATATAGACAAACTACAAAAGTCTAAAAGATTACATGGACCTGTGTGTATGGTTAAGGACTGGGTCTTGACGCTAGTCTTCTGAATGAACTAGAGTAAGCGGTGAACAGGCCATTCAACAGATCACTCAACATGAAGGTCAAAGTGTGTTGTTACAACCTTTGTATTTTCCCAGTTTATCACTGTGGGAAAAGCAGCGTGTGACACAAGTGTTTGACCTGGATCACAGTGATAGCGCCTCATGAAGATACTCTTACTTGTGTGGGCGGTGCTGTTCCTGCTAAATTCCAAATGGGCTTCAGTAGGTGTGTTAATACTATAGCCAGCGTGACTTTGACCTAAACATACTGTGTTGTTGCCACAGTGGAATTTTATAAAACTCTATTGATTCATTTATATTCCTTTTTTTTCTCAATTAAAAATTCCATGTTTAAATATCTTTGCCGGTACCTGGTCCAGCTCTTCTTCTGCGTATTTCTGGCGACTCAGTTCGTTCACTGTTCCCTCACGCAGCTCTCTCAGTCGCTGGGCCTCCTGCTTGGCTGTGTTGATCTCATCCCTCAGCTTCTGCTCCAGTGTAACCTTCTCCACCTCCACCGTGCGGTGCTCTTCCTGGGCTATCTGCAGCCTGAGGACACATAGAGGAACAAAGAGAAACTTCATTTCCATTTCTATTCAAGGAAATACATTAATGGCTGCAGGATAAGACTAGACAAAGAAATGTAGAGTAGTAGGTGCCTGTGTGATTTTCTATGGACAGTCATGACGTGTAAGCATGTGAGTAGCATGCATGTGTGGAATGCAGGACTTGCATCAGTCATGCCTCACCGGACACAATGGCTGTATAAAACAAAGAGATGTGGTCAGCTGCTCGGCAGCTCACGATAAACTGACATCAGAGGGAGCACAGCCAAGAATGGGAACAGCTGTCGTGTAACTTTAGAACAGTACAGTGTGGTACCCAATGCTCCCGTAGTAACCAGAACATACAAGTGTTGGTTTGAGTGGAGGATAATTTTAGACTTGCCTCTTGAAACAGTTTACAATTATTGTCACTTATGACATAATCATTTCTGCTTCGACACACACCATTTTCATGAACAGTGTATTTTCATGGGATCAATAAATATAATCTTTAAAACTCAAGGTAATTTTAAAACAGAATTAAGGGCTTATCCGATCAGTCACTACAGTGTAATTTTCAAGTCCCAGTGTCACGATGAAACTCAACAAAACGAATCTCTTTCTTTCAGACTCTTAATGTTTTTCTTAGATCTAAAGGGCAGTCAGTAATACTATCTCTCAGTCATAAGGGAGCAGCACTCTCCTGCTGCTGGGCGGAACAACAGCAGAGGGAGCAGGGAAGGGCAGAGGAATGAAAATTGATCCCGACATCTCGCTATGGAAAATGTGGCTGGTGGTCAGTCCTGCTAATGCTTTCGACCCTGACCTCTGCCATTCTCGAGCTAAGATTCGAAAGCACTGGCACAGCAACAGAGAGAGACACCAAGGGATGTTTCAGCTGACCAGTGCTGCAGAGGCTCACAGGACGCAGACAGTATCTTTGCAGACTTTGTGAGGAAGGTAAAGAGGACCAGATTATTTATATAATAATATTATTACATTTATCTCACTTATTTTAATTTTGTGAAACTTTGGAAATCAAGCCAGGATTCCTTGTCTATTTCCAAAGTGTCTCCCTGTGCGTCACACCCCTGTCCAAATGGTGGGTGGGTGACCTAGCACTTGAGCTGACGTGTACAGCAGTCATGCTTAACACCATCTCCTACCAGTGAGGCAGGGGCAGGGTCAAACAGCGTCGTAAAAGGCACCCAGGAAATCCAGCTCTAGTCAAAGCCTCCTCCCACTGTAGGCGAGACAGGAGAGCCGTGGCTGGGCCAGGCTACTTGATACCAACACAGGATCTGCTTGAACGTATGGAAAGAGAGCAGCTGGCAGCAGGGATCAGGAAGACATGCACGGCTAGAGACAGAGGACATACCTCTCTCTCTCCCTCACCTCCTAAAACACATACTGTAACAGAGAGTCTTTTCTTGCTAGTCACACTGACCTACAATTTAACACAACACAACTTCCCTTTCAGTGCCATGGTGCTCGGATAAAATGGATGGGAATCAAATACCGGTGTCAGACAGTCTGAACCATTTGGAATTACATGCCTTCGACTTCATCAATTCCCTTTTTATCGGATGCTGGTGTGTTTTTCAGACAGTTTCACATTGCAAAAACAATGAAGTCAAACTAATGGCCTTTGTTACTGGAAACTTGAAATAAGTGGTCATAGCAGAGCTTAGCTTCATTTCTCCTAAAAACATGACAGTTGGTTATTATGTTGGTGCACTGGTAATTTCAGGTAAGGCATTGTAGTGAAAAAAAGTATTAAGCTGAAACATCTCTCTGCGCAACAATTGCAGGAAAGGCAGGTATTAGAAACTGACCTATGTGACATGCTCAAAACCCTTAGCCTATTTTTTTCACCACAGAAAACTGATCAGGGAATATCCTAAGAAATGAAGTGATATGCAGAAATATATTGGTCTCAGTAAAATGTAATCAATTTCAAACTTACATTTGAGGAAGTCTACTTAGAAAAGTTTGATGGTCAACACTAACTTTAAAAAGACTGATTTCTGCTCAATATTGACTTTTGATCATCAGCTACTGCAAAAAGTCAGTGTAATAGCGCATTTGCTTAATGGAACATCTTCCACTTCATGCGCATGATATTAAGTGTGTTTGTTTGTCCTCGGAGCATTTATCCAGTACAGAAAAGATTTAAATGTGGTTGCACAATATTGAACAGTTGACTGATCCAGGTACTGTGTGTGAAGCAGCACACTACAACCAGAAAGAACTAATAAAAGGTAACACATGCAGCTAAGGTTTATGTGAAAAGTATACTGAACAACGCTTATTGGCCTTGAACATTTATTAAAAGGTTTTTGGTTTGATCTGCAGAGGAAAATTAAGTGCGAGGAATTAGCTTAGCAAGAAAGATCTATCAGAGGGACATGTTTGTCCCCAGCAGAAAAGTCATTGGCTAGACTTTCCATCCACTTATTGTAAAGCTCCGACAAAGAGATGCACCTGATTTGTTTATTATGATGGGATGAATGATGGGATACTGTGGACATAAAGTATCCAAGACTGACAGAGACATCTGTCATTTCTGTCTGTTTAAGTTTCAAAAAACTATTTCCCCAACAGGCAGCTGACACAAAAAAGCAAGCGACTCCTTTGGCAAATAACAAATGATACAATAAAACAGGCCGAAAGTTTAGATGCGTAAAACAGCTCATCTATCCCCTGTTCGATGTCCCTGAACATCAAGCCAGGAATGTCATGTGACACCGCCTGTCATTGCTCCTTCCTCTGGGCCAAATAATGGGACTGAGCCTCTCCCTGGTTATCTGTCCTAACATGACATAACCAGAGATTAAACACGTTCCATTTTGGCCACTCTGACTTTTCCTGTATGCTCAACCTTAGGACGAAAATAATTGTGGGAATATTGAAAACTAAAGGACAGATTATGACATTTAAAATGTTCCCAATGGACAACATGATGCTACATCAAGCTCATAGACCAAATGTCACTTGCATTAGTGGCCTCTTTACCTTAAACCAGTAAACGAACTTAAGAAAAAAATCGAATAATAAAACAACTATAACAAGAATCGTCTCATGCTTCCATTCAATCATTGAAAAGCTGCAACTTCACAGAGTTCATGTTACGTTCTCCAAACAAACTAATTCAATCCAAAATACTTAAAATTACACAATTTCATCATGAACATCCATAAGCCTTATCCTTCAAATAGCTAAAAAACACTGAGCCATAACTGAGATGAAGCTGTGTATGAGTGTCCTTTAAAGGAATAAGAGGAGATGTGCAAACTTAAAAGAACGTTCCGTGCATTCCTTGAGGTATTAATAGGATCAAAAAAGGGAGATTTGTCAGATAAACATCAGTTATTTGTCATGATGCTTCTTTTCATAACATTTAGTCATTGAGGCAGCAATGCCCTGATGTTTCTTAGGCCAGAACACACCAGATTTGAGCATGCAAGTGTTGCTTGCCAGAACAGAAACCATTCAATAAAAGGATTATCTACAATCTTTATTTAAAAAGTGCTAATCTGCACAGTTCACAGAGGTCGCATATTCCCTTTTTCCCCCCCCAAATTCAAGTTCTCAAGTCTAAATATATTTTTCCTAAGGACCCTACTGCAGCTCCCTCCAGTGTGTCCTGAAGCCTTCTTCTAAACCCATCACCGGAAACATCTTCACAGCAAGATGTCGATGCGACCGCATTTCCAGCTAATAAAGCACCTCTGCTGACTCCCCTCACTGCGAAGGAGCAGCAGCTTAGGACCAAATATTACTCGGTTCCACACTTCAGGCAAACTAAACACAGGCTAGGAAGACAATTGAGATTTGAGATATCTCTTAACCACACAGAGTTTGCATTAGTGCAGCCAGCGCTACCAACATTACTCCGTGCTTAATGATATTAAGTGTGCATAATTAGTTTAGGAAGCTTGACTGCATGCAGTGATCATATGTGTCTGTAGCCTCACAGCAGGAGAGATAACCAAACTGTCCTGTGACTGTATGGTCATTTCTACACTTCACTGAACATTGACATGCTGCAGATTTTCTGATATTGTTTAGTAACAAGACTTGGTGTGAATATCTCTGATCTGACCTCTGGACAATGTCGATTGAATCCAGTGTGGATTTTGTCCAGATCTGCCCTTTCACACATGCAGCAAACAACCAGAGATTGTATGAGATGAGTTCTGAAATGAATGATCCACACACCAACTCGCTGGTTGTGAATTCTCTGAACAATGACCATCTGTATTCATACAGGGGCTCTATTGGACATTACACGGACAAAGTAAAAAAGGAGCTGGCAGGGTAAATTTAATTTCATGTGCAGTTTAAAGGTCCAGTGTGTAAGATTTAGGTGAAAGGGATCTATTGGCAAAAATTTAATGTAGAATAATCCTCATGATGTTTTCACTAGTTCATTTCATCTAAATTGTATGAATTGTAGTTTTCTTTACCCCAGAAAGGGCTCTTTATATTCATATACTTTATATTTACATCAAGGGGACCCTCTCTACGGAGGCCGCCATGTTTTTTACATTAGTCCAGACCTGACAAACTAAACACCTTTTGAGTTTTTATAACATTTGAAGGCGGCCACATGTTCTTTTTCATGTTTGGAAGGAGAGGGTGAGGTGAGGGGTGTTCAGCTGCAACATGCAACTTCAACACTAGATATCACAAAATTCTACACACTGTACCTTTAAGTAATACAGACATTTGTGTTCACACATACAGCTCCTCTGGGTAAAGACAAAAAAAGTTCAGGGTTGCAGTGAATGTGTGAAAGCAGCTTTTGTCCCCCACACAGTCTCTACCACTCATGCAACGGAGTAGACAGAGAGGTGTGGCTCACAAAGCTGTCTACTAAAAGGACACCTAGTTGTACAGAGTTGTCAGACTGGCTCGGATACCATTCCAGCTTTTCAAGTAGCAAACAAACTCAAACCAACAGTCATGTACCTAAAATATATCAAATGTCGCACAAATGTTTTAATATAATCCAATGGTTAAACTGAATTTCAAATTTCATTAAAGTCAATTTATTTAGAATCTTTTGTTTCAAGTTGAGTGTAATGAATCACCTCTGACTTCACACTTTTAAACAGTGGTGACTCTATGTAAGTGAAATCAAGTGATAGTTGTGACGGAGTAATGACAAAAAAACACAGGGCTGAGATCCAATATATGCAAACTCCTAACAATCCTGGACAACTTTTGTGAAAACCACAGAGATCGACAGGATTTCCTGCAAACTTCATTTATTAGTCTCACAATGTCAAAATGAAAAAAACTTTCCTCTAAGTTTTAGGGAGTGTAGATGTAGTGCGAAATAAATTGATAATTTGCATAAAAATGCATTTGTTGGATGGTTAAAAGTTCTCACGTGAAGGCAAATAAAGTTGTGTCATAATTGATGCAACCTTTTATGGGGGGAAATGTTAAACTGTGTGTATGCACAATACTGTGTGTGTGTAGAGTTTGTTGCGTTGAGTGGTGGGAAAAACCCTCACTTCTGTTGCAGGTCATGCAGACTCTGCTCAGCTCTCTGCAGCCCCTCCAGGTCTTTCATCATTTTCTTCATGTGGTCCTTCGAGTAGCGTTTCTGGATGTAGGCAAACCAGCAACCACCCATGCCTATGACAATTGACACTACCAGCATGAAGTCCTTCAGGTGGTTATGTCTATTCACTGTGAGAAACAGAAAAATGAGGAACATTTAGTAAAGAAATATGAATCTAAATCATATGATAAATATACTGAGGACACATGTTTTTCGGCCAGGAGATGCATCAAGGACAGGAGAGAAAGCTGCTTTATGAGCAAGCTTCACCAGGATGTGGTGTGAAGCCTGTACATGAATGTAGCCTCTTCATACCCCAAGTGTTGCGGAGCAACACAAATAGACAAGTCAGTAGCAGTATGGCTGCGGTTAGAAGGGTCTAGAGCAAAAGACCACGATAAAGCCAGCTTAACACAGCCTATTTCAGTCTGGTAACCGATGCTAATAAAGAACATGCACACAAAACCAAACAACGGCCGCTAGAACATTTTGGTACTAATGAGAAGCTATGATCCTAATCCTAGCTGCAATTACTCTCAACAGCTCGGATTTAAGTGTGAGTACATTGCCATGTTGCTATTGTAAAGAATTCATTGCTATTCAAAATCGCAGCAGCTTGAATGCAGCAATCAAATTTATAAGAAGCCTTAAATTCAATGCAGATTTCTGCTCAGGTGAGATTTTTGTTTCAAATGCCATTTTACAATTAAATCAAGAAACAAGTCCTAGTATCATAAAGTCAATTTGATAAGTCAGGAGAGAATTGCCATGCAGCAACTGACACAAAGACTCAATTCCAGCCTTCCAAGCAACAATCATTTTTCTTGCAAAACCTGCAAAAGGGTGTGCAGGAAAGAGATGTAGAATACAAGACTTCTACTTCCTGGAGTGAGAGAAAAAGGAAGTCAGTTTACGGTTAAAATACATTGGCACAGACAAGTTTCTCTTCTTACATAACATGATGGTGACATGGCAGCTAATGACAGTTTTTCCACAATCGTCTTCCTGCCTCACTTCCGTCACAAAGATATAAGCCAAATCACACATGACACATGAATCCTAAATTCACTGCACAGCATAGAGGTCTCTCCACACCCTCTGTGTGATAAAAACATCACATCACTGAGTCTCCAGCTTGTGGTAAATGATGGTTCAGGAGGCCTGTGTATATTCCTCTAGACTTGCTGATACAGCCCAGAACAAACACAGGTTCGTCAGAGTCGAGGATCTCGGACCAGCTGTTCCTGCTATTGTGTCAAAGCAACAAACCAGAGGTGAGGAACGGAAAATCTAAAGGACAGTAAAAGCCTCTGGTTTCTACTAGTAAGAATAACAACACATCAGCTACATATGATCAGACAATATTTGAAATCTTAACAAACAAGAAAGCACTCCACAAAACGAGGTCACAATATGTAAACATGCTATATTTGTCTTGGATCTGCATAGTGCCTGAATCCGGATGCTTAAAAGAAATGAGTATCATCTGTGATAATATTAAATACTTTCCACATGCTAGACTGTTTCATTTAGTGCTCTCACATCACTGCCTAAAACAGGAAACATGCTCTCTACGCAGTTTGCTACATTCACTGCCTTTCAAGAATACAGAGAAAGCATGAAGTGATATTTAATTAACCTCGAAACTGGAAATGTCTGCACTCAATTGTGCTCAGGTTAATTATTACACAACTGTCCACAGAATTGGGATCTATCTACTGTGACACGTGTCTTAAAATGCTGCTGCTGCACACAGGGACTTTGAGAGGCTGTCAAAGCCAGGCAGCTTTGGGTGTGATTAACAAAACCTCCACAAAGACACATGTCAGACACAGACCACGACACAGTGTTTGCCGGTGAGGTTTGTTTTAAATGCAAATGTCCGCTTCTATCAAGGTTCATAAAATTTACTCTTTCTGCTTCACAGAATACAGCTCTTATCCACACTCTGCATCTTAATGGGTAAGTTTAAGATGGAGCTCAAAGGCTAGGGAACCATCTGCACAACATAATCAATATTTAGTAGAGCTGCAACTAACTGCTATTTTCATTATTAATGAATCTACAAGATATTTTCTCAAATAATCAATATGGTTATGTCTATAAAATGGCTGCTAATAGCCATTAAAATGCACCACAGCCCAAAGAGACATATTATATCAGACTATCAGCCCAAAAACCAAAGATATTCAGGTCACTGTCATATGACAATGAAAATAATTTTGTGAAGCTGCGTGACATCACATTGTAACTACGCTTTGAACATTTAACGTGTTCTTTAAGGACTAAGAGTTAAATAGCAGTTATTCCAGAACATAATTAATCCAAGTTCACATAGACTGTATGAAAAAGTACTGCTGAGAGTTATGACAGCTGAGACACACCCCATCACCAATGTGAGGTTACAAAAACAAAAAAAAAACCTAAAACTTAACATAGAAAGACCTGTTCAATGTGTTACAGAGTGATACTGGAGAAGGATAGGGAGAGGATGAGCAAGGTGTGTCTGTGTCTCAGCCCTCACATACACACACACACAGAGGGGTGTGTCTGCAGTACAGAGCTGTGTGGTTTAACACTTGTATAAAAGCTGGGCCACCTAAAGTAAATCACTGAGTTAATGAATGAGTGAAATAAATATATATAAAGCAAACAAAACCTGACATATCGCAGATGAGAAGTGTCAGCGTCACTAATGGTGGTGAGGTAATGTTGGGAGAATGTTATTGTTCTTCCAATTCACGGGAATGAAGGCGAGGTGCTGAGATAGTTGTTTGGCAGATATTCTACGCCTCTCTAATGACCAGTTTTATAAAATTAATTTGGGAGATTTGGGCAAGCCGTAAACTTGATAAAATGTTTTTCATTTGAAAAGACTAAAAAGCATTCTGGGTGCACTAAACTCCAGGCTGAAAAAAATAAAAATTGGGATGAGTCCACTGACATGTCCCACTTATTACAAGGAAAATGACAAAGGTAATGAAACAGAATCAGTTTTATCGTCTCTGTTCAGGGATTTGAAGTGTCTAGAATAAATAACTCATGAATGAGCATTAATGAGAAACAGGAATTTAAAAAAGAATGATGTCACATACTCAGGGGAGGTCCAAACAGTACAGTGTCCAGGGATTTGAGCTGCAACTTTTGCACATGGCTGCGATCCAAAATCTTGAGAATAGAGAGTGTCAGAGTGGTGTTCTTCACGGCAAGCCTGAGAGAGAACAGACACACAGTTATTCTGCAAGATCGAGGAAGGAAGAGCATAGGGCACAATCTATTTTGAGCCATTTGTAACATTACTCTATTACATTTTCAAAAAACAACTGACTGAAAACATTACTCGTGTAACCACAGGATCCCTGTAATTACAGCCAAACAAAAAAAGAAGGGAAATGAAAATTAATACAATAAAAGACCACTGGCATATTATAAAAGGGAAGTAATCTCAACTAGGGGTGTGCGATATATCAAATATACTCAACGTATCATGGATTGTACCACGTGCGGTGTATGAAATGACTATATTGCGACCATCGAGCAAAAATTGTCACATGAATGTTTTAGGCCATCAGCATGAAATTCTCTTTGAGTTTCACTTCTGCTCACTCTCCCGCCCATCCAGAAAACTCTCCTGTGCACATGTGTGTTTTAGTATCAGGAGAGAGCATGGAGGGAGGGGGAGAGAGAGAGAGACAGAAAGCAAAGAGCCCCATCAAGTAGACGAGAGTTCAGAGACGGTTATTGACAGTTTGTTCATATTTGAGAAAGCAGAGCTGAACGAATCAGTTAAGAAATGACTGATGTGAGCAGCACAAGCGAGAGAGAACGCTTGTGTGTGTGTGTGTGTGTGTGTGTGTGTGTGTGTGTGTGTGTGTGTTATGAGATAAGAGGTGTGTTCACGTGAAGGAGTCAGTGACCTGAAAACACAGTTTCCTCTATGAGCCACAGCTGCTCAATGATCAGAAGGCAAGCCCAACATTTATATTCCACTCGAAACGAGGTCAGTTACACCGTGTTTTAAGCCTAAATGTCCGCTGATATCTTCAGATGAGGTGCATTCAGGGACCGTCTGAAATGCTAATGTCCACTAGCTTCGCCACTTCCTGTGTACTTTTATGAATTTAACATTTGCAAAGTGATTTCATCGAGATACATATCGAGTATCGGGATTTTGCCTAAAAACACTGCAATATTTGTTTGAGGCCATATCGCCCAGCCCTAATCTCAACCATATTTAATTGCTAGCACAAAAAAGTTAACTGTTGTCATAAATACACTTTGTGGCTTGAGTTTTATCACTTTCAGTTAAGTATCACATATGAACTAAACTTTATTTGTGGTTTTAGCTGAAGTAACACATTTTTTTTGATGAATCTTGAACAGTTAGGAAAAGTTGATAAAGGTCACATCATCACTCACCTTGACATGGCGCTGCCATTAAAATTCATCTTGCGAAATGCATCCATGTATTGTGGTAGCTCCACATATGTGATGAGCCACTCAACCACCTCATCCACTGTCCAATTATACACTGAGGAAAAAAAGAAAAAGATTAAACTACAATTACCCCCCCATTCTCTTGTACCTTTCCTATAACAACTCATTTAAGAAAAACAGGGATCCTAAACAATTAGAAACATAAAGAATGATTTTTTTCCCCTCTGGCTCATGCAATCAATCCCATTAATTGTGCGTTTCACTTGTTTAAGAGTCGACTGAGGGGAAAGATTCCCTGAAAACAACAACGATGGCTGCAAAACAGACAGCACAGGAGATATTAGTGATGATTATGTGTCATAAACATCAGGGAGGAAGAGATAACAACTGAAATCTGCCACCAAATTTTAAATGTGATGACTGCCAAAGGTTGTGTCACTTTCCCAAATACTCTCTTTCCCCTTTCGTCCAACTCAGCTCATCTGAAATTGATGAAACCACCTTTGAAAGGCATGACGGATGGCTGAGTCAGGACTAACCTCAACCCAACCTATGGAGCCAAAACAACAATGTGTCACTGTCATAACAATTTCAGACCCATCATGGTCATGTATGACGTATCGCAGGGAAAAAACGCATTGCCTTGACCACATTAATAAGTGGGGAAGAGAAATCTGCTCCGCAGCTTCTGTCTGAGAGTAAACAGAGTGTTGTCTGTGTTAATGTGTTGCCTTCTAGAACAAAAGACCGGTTTTTGGCTTTAACCCATCAGAGTCTTGTGAAGAAACTGCAATGCAGGATAAACCAGTTCCATGGGCAGAAAAAAAGAAAAGAAAAGGGAGAATGGTAGCCAAAGAAAAAGTGTGTGGAAAAAACACGAGTGCCAGATACAGCAGAGCTCATGAAAAGTGCAAGGAGGTGGTGAGAGCGTGTATGTGAATTTTGTGCTGACAGACCACTGGCTGGAGCTGATAAGCACACAGCACACTTGACACAGCATCTAGTAAACCACCTGACTACTTTGTTGGCAGAGTGAGGAGGTCAAGAGGGGGCAATGTCTGATTCACACATTCAGTCACAGGCAAATACATAACCCTCGATTTACTGGCTGTATCTGAAATGCTGCTTTTCTTTGGGGCGGGTACTCGTTATCAGTCCAGGTTTAAACTTTCAATATCGGCAGAGCGATATAGAATATGGTGTGCATAACAGGATTCATGGCCCCAGGATACATACACTTAAATTCTAAATGTTGTGAAAGAAAGGCCTGTTTGTGCTGCCACTTCAGGGAAAAAGAAAACAAAGCCTACATCCATACCTTCAGAGCCCTTCCACGCATTCCACAAGTCCTCCACACTGATGAACTGGTCATCCCCATGGAAGCTGTTATGCTTGGCCTTTGGGTCATGATAGTTAAGATCTTCTCTCAGGAACTGAAGGATGACAAGGACATTTGTAATGGTTATAAAAACATTATCTTTTGTTAGAAAACTGCATTTCCACTTCCACTCAGCATACAGAACTTGAGTCTGCTTGGTTTGACCATGATGTTTCAGAGTAGGATTTGAATCAACCACATTGAAATCAATCCAATCCAAATTTTTACATGGATCCACACCATTTTTGCACACTCATACACACTAGATATCCGTCCCCTCAGTATAATCAAGATAAACCAAGATCGGAAAAACTTGTTCCTGGATCTGCCCCTTTGTAAGGATCGACACCATTGAGTTCTTTCTTGGTCTATGTCCTATCCTTTTTACCAAGTTTCGAGCAAATTTGTTCAGTAGTTTTTGTGTATTCCTGCTGACAAACAATTCAACCAACCAATGAACAAACAACAAAACAGACCGAAAACATGACCTTGTTGGCTGAGGTAACAGCCCAGTCACTCTGACCCAGTAGGCCGAATAAAATAGTTGGAGGGCAAAGACCACATTTTAGAATGTTGTTGGAAATTTGCTGTCGATGGTTTAACATCCTTTGTGAGCACTGACCTATTTGCTACTGTGGGTTTTATGACTCCAATAACAGGAAGAAATTCAATTCTTGTGGCTTATGTGTTTATTTCCTTCACACACACAGTTAGAAAGAGGATGAAAGACTTAATATCTCAACCATACATGACATGAAAAATAACTTAAATTTTCCATTAACTATTTACTGGTCTGGAACAACATGGAACCCCCCCCAAGGGTAAACAAATGTAAGGCCCTCAGGATTCCGTTCTCGCCCCCATTGGAGTGGTAGTCGTTTACTTCTACTGACCTAAGGAGCCACACTACTTGTCGCCCACTGTATTGTAGGCTAACTCAGTCACTATGTTTAAAAAAAAAAAAAAGACCTGCACAACATCTTGCACCCCCACAAAAGCCAACTCATGCAACATGTGTGGAAGACAGTAATAGGTCATAGTGCCATTCTTTGCTGCTAGATATGTGTGGGAGGGTTTCACCACAGGGTAGAGAAACAGTCTTTACTGCAGGTGAAATATCACACTTCTGTAAATACTGTATACTTAATGTAAAATTAGCAGGAGCCGTATAATGTGACCCAGGCAAAGATTAACCTTAAAAGCCAGATGGATACTTTGATCCTGGTTATAAAGAAATCAACAACCTCTTTATTCAATCACTGAATGATATCAGGAAGCAGGACCATTCAAGTGCTCTTAAATTGTATTTCACTGCTCAAAGCCACTTCAGATACGAGTGCATACTACATTTGGTTCTTTGCCTTGGGGCTATTTGCATAGCAAGTGCCTCTTCTAAAAGCAGAGATGGTTGCATTCATGACGCTGCTTGCTCTGGCCTGAACCACATGCCACAGACTGGACTAAACCAAAGAGAGGCTCCAGAGGAGGCCTCCTCAAGGCCACACCATGTAGTTTAGACTACAGCACTGGACCAAAGCTGCATGGAGTCCAGACAGCGACTTTCAAGGAACCAGTGACTTCTGAGAAGCAACAGACCCAACTTATGGACAGCAGTATACAGCTTTTTGAGATTTCCAATACATCAGCCAATATATACATATTGGTAATAATTCCTTAGATGTCCAACCATTATGACATAGAAATGTAAGTGAAGCTTGATATTTATAGTTTAACCATTAACTTTATCATAAATAACTATAGATCAAAAGAGAACAACTACATCCAAATAAACAGATTTGAAAATACAAAAAATAAAATACACCTATTTTTATGTAAAATGTAAAAATGAAGACATATCTTTTCTACATAGTTTATTATGTAAAATAAACATTTTCATGTCAGCACATATCAGCGAACATAAACACTGACACCAATATGTCGGTGAAAGGCTCATGTTGGCCGATATTAATAGGCCAACCAATAAATCATCTCTGATAAATCGTCTCTCATAAGAAATAACTATACAGAGATTTCATCATACTACACTGCACTGAAAAGTAAAGCACCCAACACTGTCTTTCATCTGTTTGTCCACATCAGATTCTACAACATGGATGCCGGTAGCAACCAGACTTCATGAAAACAGATCGGACCTAATCTGAAGTACAGTATCTTTGACAAAGTTGAAGACATTACATGGGCAAAACCTATAGCGAGTCATATGCCACAGGGTAACAATAATGATACCCGTTAACCTTCTTCTTTGGACCACTTCTATGAGTATACAAACCAGAAGAAACACAACAAAGCATCAGCTCTTGATGATGCCAAATTCTTAGACGGGTACTTACGCCGTCTGTCTCCGCCACATCTACATTGCCGTTTGCGTCATCGTCCATCTGCTTGTGGATACTACGGATGGCCTCAAAGCTGAGAAGGGCGTTCTCATCCTTGCAGAGTGACTCATCGATGCGACAAAAATCTGGTGGAGAAACAGTCATACCAAGAAGGTGTTAAGGGAATTTTGAAACTCATGGGTCAACAGAATTGTCAATATTATTCACATTTATTAGTGTTTATTTTTCATAAAACTTTCTGTGTTCACCTCGATTGATGATAATGCTGCTACCAAAAAAGTCTATTGTTACAACTACAGCAGCTTCTAATCCTACAACTACTACCACAACAACAAGATTAGACAATTAATCTGCATGCCTCTATTTTTGAAACACTGTTATTTGTTAATAATTCATTTTTAGTTCCCATGAAAACTTAGAAACACACCTGTTGCCCCAGGAAGTTAAAATATAAGTTCTTTTGTTTTAATGACTCTGTAAAGAAAAGACATTTATAAAAAAAATCAAGTCATTCAAGCACGTGTCAATTGTCAGTTCAATGCTATAATAGCTCTCTTTACTTCCCCTTGTCATGAGAAGGCCAGAGAGGTTCATTGCTTTTGACCCTTTGTGCTTTTTGAAGAAAAGACAGAATGCAAAGTCCCCTTCTGGATTGTTCTTACTCAGCCTCTGTCTCTTGCAAAGATAACTGAACTGTAAAATTCCGTCGCTGCAAACAAAGCCTCGTTTATAAAAGAGACTGTCACTCAATATGGGGATGGTACCAAGAAGCCAGATACCATGACTGTCAGACCCAATACGTAGAACAGAAAGGGGCCATGTCACAAGACCAACTGTTTTCATAATAAGTGTGCGCTTGAAATTATTTTTCATCAACATACATTTATCATCAGAAAACCTGTTTGTGAGTTTAAATTATATTCCACATTTTTACAGTTATGCCTCAGTAACATATATCAGTGTGCATTAATTGTATTTTTGAGTAATTATGTAATCAAGCCATCTGTAATTTAACTAGTGCACCCTGTCTGCCCTCTGTGTTCCCTCTCCTTCCTGAGGGAATAGAAATTCTTTGCCACAGATCAGAGATAACGTCGCCACTCCCGCTGAGAGGAAATCTTGTTTAGCGTGTGGTGCAGAAAAACTCACGAGCTGTGTGAAAGGGCATGTTAGGACAACAGTAAGTTTAATAGTGTATTTTGATTTAAAGCTCTGCGGCTGAAGTAAATTCACAAGAAAAGTGCCTCTAAATCTTTCAGAAGCAAATGTTTTATTTCATTTTAAGTCTGTCTTATATAACCACTTTATTCCATGTTACTGCCATTTTAGCCAGGACGCTGTTGTAAATTTGAGATTATTAATCTCAATGAAGCCCTTTCCTGGTTAAAATAAATTATACAAGACGTATGTCAACACAGTTTGCTTGGTTGTGCATGTCATTGCATTATACCCACAAAAGGGGAAGGTGAGTTTTAGGAGGAGGCTTGCTTTGCTCAACAACATGAAACAATGGTTTGCACTTCCTAAGCGGATGTTCACTTGTTTTTTTTTCTCACCAACAAAAAGCAGCTCCAAAAAGTTTTTCAAGAACTTTTTAATCACATCACTAAGGATTTATTAACTACAATGTTTGGTTAAATTTTACTCCAGTCTGCTGGTAGATGGGAAGTTTTTGGTTTCACCCCCTTGCATTTATCAACTCATCATTTCAACCCATGCGTTCTTAACTCCACATGTTATGACAAGTTGGCTTAGCAGCAGCCGAGACAAAGCAGAAAGTAAAACATGTCTCGGATTAAGCTCTGCAACAGTTCCTGTATCCATGAATGGTTTCATGCTTTTTGTTTTTCTCGACATGAAACCCCTGAAGCAGAACTCAGAAAGATGGACATACAACCTGAACTTCTGTGTAGTGAAAAGTAAATGAAAAGAGTTGCAGTGTGCAGGAGCTTCAGTTTTAGAGAACCTGCAAAACCACATACCTAAAAGGTAATTGGTGTCCCACAAATTCACTCATTCACATCCACCATGTCTAACAGGGAATGCCATGTAAACCAGTGAAAGCCTGCCACCTGCAACACTACCACATAAAACCTGGCCCTCTTTCTCATTTGGCTTGCAAATCTGCAGACACACAAGATAAGATATTTACATACCAGTCAGCTGGCCTTTTTTTAAGATCCAAAGTTATGCAAGCCACTCTGTGTGGCTGCATGCAGATGAAGAAAAGCCTCCCTAACTTTGCCAGTTCGTAACTGCAGTCACTAAGACCTTCTGCTTTTAAAAATACCTGTCACACTTTGAAAATCACTGTCAAGAAGACATTCTTCTCACACTGTGGCCTCTTGGGCCTGTTACAACATATGTTTGTAAAACTCTGCCCTGATTGCAAAATGTGTACGGACAACTTAGACTATGTCTCACCAGTTTAACTGCACTGTTCAGCAGAACCAAAAAAAGATCCCAGCAGTAGCAGTTATGAGATTTTACTAAGAACACAGTGATTAATGTGTAAATATTTTAAAATGTAGAATTGAGTAGCAGTTAATCCTGTATCAAAAAGACACATATGATCATTCTCTTTAGGAAAAAGACCCTGAGTCATAGTACGTCTTAACTGACAGATAGGAAGCTCAGGGCCGTGTCAGATGGAACCGCTGTCACAAATTATGCAAAATCACTTCATGAATTTCTGCGAGATTATCTTTACACTGCCAGCTTTTTAATTTCACTCCAAAATGTTTGTGTCTTAAACTGAACCTTAACTTGCTGTTTTGGGAACCCAACACTGGCTTTTACTCAGTAACATTAGGTTGCATAGTTGGGAATATGGCACATGATAAGTTTAGAGGTGTAATTCCAAGTTGTAGGTGTCAACATTGCTATATGAATTAGTCCTCTACAGTACAGTGACGTCTGAAGTCAAATGGTTTAGGTCAGCTTTTAATTTTTGAAAAGTATAATGTAAAATGTGCACTACCGATTCAGTATTACTTACATTCAGTAATAGCTTTGTTTAAAAATTATATTTTAGGTGAATATTTTATTCTTTTATCATTGAAATATTCTATTTTTGATATTTTTTGCTTGTGTGGTTTTCAAATATTTTTGAGCTTGTCTAGAGGGGAGCCTGTGACCCAGGCATTTCATTGCTAGCAACTGCAGTATGTAATTGTTGTGCACATGACAAATAAAGCCATGAAGTCTTCAAGTACATTTTCTGTTATGTGTTTTCCAGCCAAAATCTAGGAGAAATATTTATGATGCACTGATACAAATTTCAAATGTATTAACAGTTTGACTGTTGCTCTCTGATTGTGACGCTACTTCTAAAAGTCCGGGTCTATTACCTTGTGTCTGACTAGGTGGCTTGATAGAAATTGCAGGGCTTAATGAAGAATGCCAGCTGGACTATTCTCAGCATGGCTACATTTAGTGACTGCACAATCACAAACATGTGGCACCAACAGTAAAGCTCTGACTGCCAATCTGTAGAGTACATGTGTGTGTGTGATCTCAACATTACAGGTGGATACAGATGAACATCTACAATGCAACAGCACGTGAATCCCCTGGCCGATCACTCACCTGGAACCCCACTTTCGCCCGGACTGTCCGGTGAGGGCGAGCTCGTCTTCTCACTCCAACTTTCTCCAGCGAGACACAAGCAAAATATCCACAAGGAAACACATGTGTTGAACTCCATGACTGGTGGTGTGAGCTGTGGAGAAGACGACAAGGACACGAGGATTGCAACGCAGTAGTAGAGCAGCTTAATAACCCATCAAACGTGAAAAACAATGCGAGAGCTTTGCCTCTTGCAAACATACGACACCTCGACGAGAACAGGGAAGTGCGTTCATCTGCTTGAAACACTGTCAGTTACATAAAAGATGCCCCTGCAGACCACACATGCGATCACTCCTCTTCTTCCTGAATGAATCAGTCGTTAGCTCGCTAATACCTGGCTGTAGCTTAGGCAGCATTTAAACCACGGTTCAGCCGATCTTTGGTGATCTGGATGAACACACATGGCTCCAGGGAGAGACATAACAAGATTATAGAAAGTAACAGCAGCCTGGATGTTTGTCTGCTGCTGTTGCTGATGCTTAACTGACAAGCCCCGGCTAACCAGCTAGCTAGCATCCCGGCTAACTACGTATTGAGGTGAAACATCGAAAGTAACATCACAAAAACATTTTACGAAAACATTCACATTAACTCTCTGGTTGTTTTTTTTACTGTTACTTTATGTCACCGTCGACTTACATTCACCACAGACGTGCGTTAGCCAGCGGTGACGTTTAGCTAACCGCACGCCATGCCAAGTGTCGTTAAAAAGCCCAGAGTTGAAGCTAGCCTGACTAAAAGGCGAACGTTACAAGAAGCGAATAGTAGAAAAACAATGGAGTAAAGTTCACCTGTCATGTATCGGAGGCGGCGGACGTGTGGGTTCAGCTCCGTGTCAACATCCCAGCAGACGTTCGGACAATCCTCCAGAGTTGAAGCCGTGAACTCCACCTCCTGTTAAAAAAAGTGTGGGTCCCTTTTTCATCCGCGACCGAGAGACTGGAGCGAAAAGAGCCGCAGAGTGTGGAGGGACTGTGGGTCTGTCTTCTTCTGCAGCTCCCCGGGCCCCTGGTTCCCAGCAGCAAGTATCGCCACCTAACGTCCGGAGTGTAACACTGTGGATTATTGCGGGTGGCTAAAGAGCGTTATCTAGTGGTCAGTTTAAGGCATTACACCGCAACGCCAGCAGGAAACGTTTAAATATTCAGTTTGTAATCCTCGTGATGTTTTCACCAAATTGTACCAATTGTTTTCTTTATCCTAGATTGGGCCCTTTAAATTGAAATACTTTATATTTACATCGAGAGTGAGTCCTCTCTACGGAGGACGCCATGTTTTTTACAGTAGTCCAAACTGGACAAACTAAACACCTTTTGAGTTTTTATGACAACTGAAGTCTGCCACAGGTTCTTTTTCATGTTTGGAAGGAGAGGGTGAGGTGAGGGGTGTTCAGCTGCAACATTCAACCTCACCACTAGATTTCACTAAATTCCACAAACTGAACCTTCAAGAAAAAAATTACACAACTTTTCAGTTCCTGCAGCAGTAAGACTGTACAACCACGTCTTAATAAGGGTTTTGTTGTTAATGAGAAAGTCTCAAATGAGACTCAGCGTTTAATTTTACCATCTTATTAAAATGGTAATAAGTGGTTATAAGTGGTTATGGTGTATAACATAATACACCACCAATATAATAATGTATATTCATTCACTAAAGTGTATTACACACATGCTTTAAAAGTATTAAGGTCACATACTGTGAGTATGAATCTTTCTCTTTGTGTAAAGGTACAGCTGTGGAACAATTATATTTACACTACCTGGCTTCAGAAGGTATCTTCTCCTCCTCCTGGGTCCTGATTTTTGCATCTGTGGAAAACTTTTTTTGGAGGTTTTTATCCAGCAGCCTTAACATTTGGGTCGAAGTTAGGTAAACAGTGTGGGGTTACCTGCTGTGGATTAACAACAGGGGCTGAAGGCCACATGTAATTCAAGGAGTTTACAGTTTGAATTTTGACCTTAAAAGTTGCATAGAGCTGAAATATCGATGGAATAAAAATGGAATTTAAAATCTAAGAATAATAAACGACAAAATCTGTTCTTGTGTGTCATCAATACTGCATTTGGAGTATTATATCAGAGTACATTTTGGAGATTATATTTTTGGGGGGGGAATCTGCTCAGTGTCAGAAAAAGACATTTAACATTTGAGAACACTTAAAAGAAACTCTGCTCTCCACCGTTTCACTCCTTTCTAAATTATTTGCAGACATTCATCCCATTTTCAAATAAAAGTCGAGCATACTTGAAAAACACTGTCACTTTACTTTGGCACATATACAGTAAGACCACACATATGTTGTGCAGTATGCAAAAGTTAATACCTGCAAATGATAATACGTAATGTGCTATATGTGTGCTATATAGGTGAAGGCATCCATGAATGAGACACTGAGGCTAAAAGTAGCACTTACAGCTAACTCAACAACCCCCACAGTAGCACTTCTGCATATCTGTTTCTACTTGTTGACATCGGCACCATGTTCAGGACTCGAGAGCAGTCGTCACGAATATATGTGGAAGAGGCCTTCGTCCCACTCGTCCTCTGGAGTGGGATCAGGGCTGTTATCATCAGGGAGTTGAGTGGTTGTGTATTTAGCACTTAGTCCTTGTGTTTCTAGTCAGAAGGTTTTATCTTCAGAGGACGAAATGACCATGACCTCTTGGCTCTTAAAGTCCCACACAGCCGTGAGATGGAAGGCCATGTTGGAGAAGACGACGAGATACTCAAACAGGGCGAAAAATGTATAACCTGTGAAAAAGAAGACACAGGAGAATGTTATAGACATAGTTTAGGAATTTTGTGGACATTCTCCTGATACATTTCCACATTTTCCGAAGATGTAAATACTTACTCCCTGATTCGCAGTACATGTTGTGTTTATAATAAAAGAATCCAGCAAAAGCGCAGAAGGATATGTTGAGAAGTAAAAAACGCACTTTCCAGAGGTGAGACTTTGCATCCTGTTTGGGAATAAAAAGTCTGGGTTGGATTTGAAGGATTTTAGTTTGCAAATCTTAAAGGAGATGAACACCAGCTTACCTCAGGACTCAGAGAATACTTCTTAATAGCCTTCCACAAACGGCAGGTTATCAGCATGTGGACGAGGGAGCTGATAATGAACAGGACAAAGCCTTCCTTATGTACAACTGAGGAAAAATATACAAATAGAAATCAGTTTAATTCAAAATATCCCCTGTAGAAGATACTGGGATTGAAATGATCTCATTATATGGATCACTCACAGTATGTCTCACTGGACGACACATATGTGAGGAGCAAGAGGCCGAGGTTTTCAGTAAGAGAGAAGGCCAGGTTCAAGCGGCTGAGTGAACTCTCAGGGAACTTGGAGGCGAAACGCGTCTTGTAAAATTTGAAGTAGGTAAACGCCACCAGTAACCGCGGGGCTGAGTGCAGTCCGATGCAGAAGCGCCATATGTGGCACTCAGGGCTTAGGCTTATTGAGGCACTGATAGATGGCAGGTAGTTAGGAACCTGGAAATACAGAAATGTTTACATTTTTTGGGTTAAATCTCAAATGAAGGACAAGTATAAGAACACAAGAGCAAAGGAGAACAAATATTTCTTATCAATTTAACCACAAACCGATTTGTAAGGATCTTTCTCACTTTTTAACATTGAAAAATAGAGTTTTGAATTTTAAAGTCATTACCTGGCAGTGTGTGCCGGTAGAGTCTTCAAAATGAAAAACCGAGGAGATGAAGACACATGTTATTAGTCCGAGCAGTGGCAGACACACAGTCGTCACAACACAGGTCGTGAATGAAATCCTGATGACCAGGGGCCTCTCCTGCCCAAAGACATTTGAGCCCTGAAGCATCTTGGTCTGAAACAATGGAAAATACTGATTTATTAACATCTGGAACACAATTCATGCATAATGAATGTGGCAATAGTACATATCTAGTATTACGTTTCTACGTTTGTGATTTGCATGCATTTGCAGAGATGAACCCACCTCTGATGTGTTTATTGTTCACAAATAGCTGCTGTCGCCTGTGGCAGGTGAATCACTACGCCGTTACAGGAGCGTTCGTCGTTATCAGGCTGCAGGATGGACCTGGAGGCTCCAGAGACCACGGACATATTTCGCATCAGCTGGATTTACATCAGATGAATAACAGGCCCGCAGCTGCAGCATCGTCCATGTGCGACAGGAAGCAGGAGGAAAAAAATCCCAGTTGGTCTTTGCAACACCAGCACCCGGAAGAGAATGTGAGCGGAGGAGAGAGCCGAGGATGCCACGTGTGAATACGTCAAAAATGATGCGCAGACCTCAGGCGAGAAATTACACGTGTCTCGTGTTAATTATTCGCGATGTAAAACAAGTGAAGAGCAAATAGTGATTATCATTTATTGATTATCAGATGATGAGGCTGCGAGCTGTCCGTGGTGCTGAAGCACAGGACGCATCCATTTCCACTTTCGCTTTGTGTGCGTGTGTGTGTGAGAGAGAG